GATAGTTTTAAAATATTCCACGAATCGCAGGGATCACTACGCAATTTTTAACATGTACTGACGATATAATGTTTTACATCGTTCCTGGAGTATTACTGTCGTCCGATACGTGGAAAAAGTTTCACTTATGCTGCTTGAAATATCTCGACATTCACGGCATCAATATATTATCGCTATCTGATGGTATTAATTATTCTATACATCTCGGTGATCATCATGAACAGAACATAATGACGACCTAATATTATTTATGGATAATAATGTATTATGGTCCTCCAGTGTGGTTAGAGGATTACATGTGAAGTTACAGAATTAACGATTTTCATTCTGTCAATATATCATACGATTTGATGGTCTTATATTATTTTACGCATCGTCGGGTTCATGAATCATTTTTTTGAACATAAATATCATCTGATATTATATTTCGAGCCTGAACAGTGTTCAGGTACGTGGAGTCATGTCTACATGTGACAGATCGAAATTTTACACATTCATTCTGCCCACATATCACATCAATTCTGGTCGTATATTTTTCCACGCATGGCGGGGTTCACAATTGTCGCCATTTCTTTGTACATAAACATCATCCAACATTATTTATCTCACCTGAAGTATTGCGGTGCTTCGGTACGTGGATTGTTTTTCACATACAAAGAATGTTCCGCATCTTTCCATATTCATTTTATCCATAAACCTTTATGATTGTATAGCCTTGTATTATTCTACGCATCTTGATGTTCAGAACGAACACCATTATTTTTGTACATAAATATCAACTAGTACTTTTTATCGTGCATGAAGTATTATGGAGTTTCGGTATGTGGAATGAAGTTTGCACAATTTAAAATTCCCCATATTCGTTCTGTCAGAATATAATACCGTTGTTATGGCTTTAAATTATTCTGCGTTTCGTGGCATTCACAATGAATAGTCTTGTAGAAAAATATCAACTAATATTATTTATCGAGCCTGATATGTTACGGAGTTCCGGTACGTAGAATGAGGTTTACATGTGACTGTTCAAAATTTTCCACTTTCATTCCATGAATATATCATATGAATTTTATGGTCGTACATTATTCTACACATCGCTTCGTTCACAATGGTTAACATTTTTTTGTACAAAAATATCATCTAGTATTTTTTATCGAACCTGAAATGTTATGGTGTTCCAACAAATGGAGTTGGGTTAACATATGGCTCTAAAAAATTTTGAACATTCATTCCTGTATCG